AAGCGTGTGTTCCCACCCGCATTCACCAACGCAGGTGGCGCCCGATAGGAGCGGCGATTAAGCCCAACTATTCGCGGCTGCCTATCCTGTTGTCGTTTAGTCGCAGGCGGAGATCGCTGTGCTGAAGAAAGAGGTGGCTGATTTTTCGAGTCAAGTTTTGCGACTGCCTTCAGATTTTCGAGATGTGAGGACGAAGGATATTAGGGGTATGACCACCTAAAGCTTTGTATAGACATTTGAAGCGAGTAGTGATGATAGACCCACGTCAAAAAGTGCATGCTCCTCGATTACCGAGTCCTCTGTCGTCTTTCTCGTACATGGCAAGTCTTTTTTTCACCATCGCCGATGGGCAACGACGCTCGACTCACAGTCGACGTCACCAGCGGTCTTGTTATACTGATGCGGATATGTGATCTCTTCTGGATCAACATATTGTTTTCGAGGACCCACGTAAATTACGGGGTGCGTATTCATATACGGTGGTAGAATGAGCTTATAATTCAGGTCTCCAACTGCTTCAACCACTGTGAAGGGCTCAATGAATTAGGGCAACAACTTAGTAGTACTACCAGGTAATACAGAAATTGCATGTTTGGATAGGGGAAGCAGTACTTAATAGCACTTTGTCCCCACCACTTAAGTGTTCATTGTTTTTTCGACCATGTTGGTCCGCATATTGTATTTGCTTGTCCTATGCGCTTGCCATTTTGTCACGGACGTTACGTGTGATGGCTAATCGCTCATCCACAAAGCGCTGAGCTTCGCTCACGCTTTAAGCATCCAGCTCGCCTATGACCCCCCCAAGAGGTCGGTCATGGATCGACGCTGTCGATAACACGATAGTGTCATCGTCAAGGAGCTCTGGCATTGATTGCCGTGCCACCTCTGTGACACCTTTAGGTGTCGCGACCACTAATAAATTAGCAGTGTGACTAGGGTAACCTTGACCCTCTTTGTCATTTGTACCAAGCGCATTGAGGGGCCCTCCCCCACTAAGAATCGGTCTGCGCACGGACGAGACTGGCGTCCGAGGATGGCGCAGTCCGTTAATGTAAAACGGTGTTTCACCCGTACTGGCGTGAACACTGTTATTAATAGCGAACTACACGAGTGGCAATTGCTTGCTCCATTCTTTGGTAGTAGCTGCTGTGCGCAATTCATCCACCACGACTCGATTGGCTCGTTCTGTTTGGCCATCGGTCTGGGGATGATCAGCGGTTGACATGTGGAGCTTGCTTCCCAGCAGCTTACGGGCAGTTCTAAATGGGTACGAGGTACCTTAGGCCTGCCACTTGGGTGTGGCACATCAATGCCACATCCACCCTCGTGAATGTGATATCCATGGTAGGGTTCACATTTAACTAGGTTGACGCCAGTTGGGACTGGGCGTCATGGTGACGCTTTTAACAGACGTCACCAGCGAGCTTAAATATATTTTTAAGCTCGCACGTAAGGATACGCTTCTAAAGAGGCGCGTATCCAATCTTTGCATAATTAGCCAATCAGTATTTAGACTTATATTTAGTTGAAATCAATTGAATATAAGTCTGTCTTGAATCTACTAACTATCGCCCACTGCACACGAGAAGCTTGATAATCTTCTGCGTGACGTAAGTGAGGTAGTACTTAGTTTTTCGTTGCGCAGACCGCTCTAAGCGGCCGCCAACAGATTGGTTCGGCGCTTTAAGCGACCAACCAACTCAACCACCACCGCACGCGGAGGTAAGACGGTATGACCGCTTCCTCGCGCTTTTTGAAGGTGTGTCCGCGTAGTACGTGGCAGATTCTTTACGAAGCGTCCGTCTACACTAGAGAAGGGTTATCATTATGTCCAGAAAACGAGTTGCCAGCGTCAATATCTTAAATATCAGAGCTCAAGAATCTTTCGCTACCATTGATCATGATAGTTACAGTGTAAAATTGTTTACTCATTAGTCGAAAATAGACTATGTACCCGTTGCAAACTCAGATCCGTTTGTTTACTTCGTGCAATGACGCCCCATATAATCCAAAAGGGTCAAATGAGTGATGGGTGCGGCACACGAGTGCGGCACATGGGTGCGGCACATGGGTGCGGCACATGGGTGCGGCACATGGATGCGGCACATGGGTGCGGCGCATGGGTGCGGCGCATGGGTGCGGCACATGGGTGCGGCACATGGGTGCGGCGCATGGGTGCGGCGCATGGGTGCGGCACATGGGTGCGGCACATGGGTGCGGCGCATGGGTGCGGCACATGGGTGCGGCGCATGGGTGCGGCGCATGGGTGCGGGTTAGCCATACTTAACTCGTTGGCCGAAGAACTTGTGAGTCACGTGCAGCTACCAACAACGGCTAAGAGTGACATTGATGCGAGTCGTACAGAACTCTTACTTACCAATTTTACCAGCATCCTGGTCCACAAACTTCCTTTTCTCTTATCGTAACAGTCATGATCATCCTACGAAAAAAAACCCTACTCATTCGGACTCAGTGTACGGTTATCGCAATCGTTGTACTCGCCGCACTCGCCGTATCGGCCCAAGACACTTTCGGGTCCACCACCACCTGCGATATCTCACAGTACCTCAACGCCACTACTAACAAGTGCGTCACTTATTCTTCCCGAGGTGAAAAAGCTGGCAATGCCCATGATATACCCATCAACTCCGGCAACACGGCGTGGATGCTCATGTCTAGTGCATTGGTAATGCTCATGACCCCTGGCATCGCGTTTTTCTACGCTGGACTTGCCGGTGAGGAAATGGCGTCAAACACCATGATGATGGCGTTTGTGAGTATAGCAATAGTGTCGATCCAGTTTTGGGCCTTCGGGTACTCGGTGTGCTTCAGTTCCGATGGCCTTTTTGCCTGGGCAGGATACAACAATGTCGGAAGAGTCGCCAGCGGCGTGTATGGTGGCGGGGTTCCGCATATCCTGTTTGCATTCTTCCAGACGCAGATCGCTGTTGTCACGCCTGCGCTGCTTAGTGGTGGCATCGTTGGCCGCATGAAGTTTGGAACATTTGTGTTATTCGTACTTCTTTGGTCATCACTTGTCTACGACCCATTAGCACACTGGATGTGGTCACGTGAACTCAACGAGAACTGGGAAGTTACCCCCATGGGCTGGGAGGGCAAAATGGGCTCTCTCGATTTTGCTGGAGGTACTGTCGTTCACGTCTCGAGCGGTTTTGGGGCTCTTGCCGCTTCAATCTTGGTCGGCAAGCGCTACAACCATGGAGATCCTGTGAAACCACACAACGTACCCCTTGTGATGATCGGTGCTACGCTGCTTTGGTTTGGCTGGTTTGGTTTCAATGCTGGTTCGCAAGGCGCAGCTGATGGAATTGCTGCGACCGCTGCCATTAACACTCACTTGGCATCTTGCGCAGGGTTTGTAACCTGGGCGTCGCTAGAATTTGTCCTATACCGCAAATTTGACCCATGTGGTGCAATCAGCGGCGCAGTGTCGGGTCTTGTGACAATAACCCCTGGCTGTGCTTATGTGTATCCATGGGCCGCTGTCATCTTCGGTGTCATTGGTGCTGCTACGGGTTTTGGTGCTGTGCATTTAAAAAACTATCTTCGCTACGATGACACCCTCGACTCGTTCGGTATTCACGGCTGCGGCGGCTTCATGGGTGGTCTGCTCACTGGACTGTTTGCTACTTCAGACGTCAACCCTGCTATCGAGGGTGGTGCCTTCTACGGTTATGGAGTGCAGTTTGTGCACCAGCTCATTTCGCAGTGTGTGGCGGCTGGATACTCAGTAGTGGTGACGTTTCTGATCCTGATGGTGCTCAAGTATACAATTGGTTTGCGAGTTTCGGAAGACAAGGAAGTGGATGGCATGGACGTTTCGTACCATGGGGGACTCGCGTACGAACTCACTACGCACAGCTCGCTCTCGAGCTCGTCCAACTACAATGAGATTCATCCGCCTCAACGAGGTTTTTCCAAAATCATCATTCCGGTACAGTCCGACTCCTCTGTCCCGTGCAGTAAAGAGCCGATCATGCATGTGTAGGTATAGTTCTCTCGTTAAAGTACCTGCGAAGCGTATACGAAAGTTATAGCGAAGTAATCTATTTTTGAGCAACCTTATAAACCTATATTTACTGTGGATGTGTCATAGAATTTTATTTCTTAGAGTAGCTGATGACGACCTCGACGTAACAAGTATTGATTGGTTCCCATCATGGAATGTCCACCTAATCGACAGCAAAAACCTCCGGTTTTGTGCTGGTAACAGCTGGTCCGTAAACGACTTGGATCATCTGCAAAAAGAGGGTCTATATCCTCTCTATCGCATCAGGGTACTCGTTTTGTGCATTGCCGTGCACTGCAACTCGATTGAAATTGTTTAGTTGTACCGAAACAAACTCTCAAACTCAAACGGTTTTGTATGGCTCACGAGTATTAAAGTTGTCGGCTTCTCATCTCAAATTTGGCGTTTTCGCTGTCTACCTTAGAGGAATTTTCGACCTACTAAGATATCGCACTGGAAGATTACCCCCCCCCAACCCAAGATAGATCAAGAGCTTTGATGTAGAAGCGTAAACACGCCATAAACATTCATCCTGGTCCCTTTATGTGAAACAAATTGTTTGGTCAGCTCCGCTTTGCTGATTTGTGGTGTCGTAATCAATCAGATCCGCTAACGCGATCATCTCCACTCTTTTTGCCAAGTACAGTGCTTGTCGTTCGTAGCAATGGGTTGCGTGTGTAGCAGGACAAGCTCACTTCGGAATTGACTTGCATAGATTCTAGCTGAAACATCTACAGAGTCATGACTCCGCTAGCACGCGTAGTTCTTTTCGCAGCTCTAGCTATGGCCCTAGCCACCCCTATTACTGCCCAGAACACCTCGTGTCTGACGTCGCAGTTCTTGGAACAAGACCACTGGCGAATGCGTTGCCTACGCGAGCCGAGGTGAAAAGGCTCAAAGTAACTACGACCAGATAATTGATTCGGGTAACACGGCGTGGATGATAATAGCTAGTGCTCTAGTGATGATCATGACACCGGGCGTCGCCTTCTTCTACGCTGGTCTTGCCGGTGAAGAAATGGCGTCCAACACCATCATGATGTCGTTCGTGAGCATGGCCCTTGTATCCATTCAATTCTGGGCCTTCGGATACTCGACAGCTTTCGGATCCAACGGTATTTTCGTTTGGAGCGGGTACATTAATGTGGGGCAGTCCCCCAGCGGCACATACGACACTGAAATCCCCCACACTTTATTTGCCTTCTTCCAGACGCAATTCGCCATGATCAGTCCTGCGCTACTCAGTGGCGGTATTGTGGGGCGCATGAAATATGGATCGTTTTTGCTTTTCATCTTCCTGTGGACATCACTGGTGTACGATCCATTGGCTCACTGGATGTGGTCGCTCAAGCTCGATGACTCGTGGGCGATTACCGCGATGGGTTGGGAGGGCAAGATGGGATCACTTGACTTTGCGGGAGGCACCGTTATCCACATTTCGAGTGGATTTGGAGCCCTTGCGGCTGCTCTTATGGTCGGAAAGCGATACAACCACGGAGAACCAGTCAAGCCCCACAACGTGCCGTTAGTGATGATTGGTCTAACTCTGTTGTGGTTCGGCTGGTTTGGCTTCAACGCCGGTTCGGAAGGTGCTGCTGACGGAATCGCTGCCACAGCTGCTATTAATACTCATTTAGCAGCGAGTGCGGGATTCTTGACGTGGGTATGTCTGGAATTTGTCATGTCTACCAAGTTTGATCCTTGTGGAGCTGCTACTGGTGCTGTGGCTGGTCTGGTTGCTATCACCCCCGCTTGTGGTTATGTGTATCCGTGGGCATCGGTGATCTTCGGCGTGGTTGGTGCCGCAACGGGGTTCACTGCTATTCACATGAAGAACCACCTGCGCTACGACGACACCCTTGACTCGTTCGCTATCCACGGCTGTGTTGGTGTCATGGGCGGTCTCATGACAGGCCTGTTTGCTACGTCAGACGTCAACCCGAACATCAAGGGTGGTTGGTGCCTTCTACGGCAATGGTGCCCAATTCACGCACCAGTTGGTTTCTCAGTGCGTAGCTGCAGCTTACTCATTCGTAGTAACGATTATCATCCTGTACCTGATAAAGATCACGATTGGTCTTCGTGTGGATGAAGATAACGAGGTGAACGGGATTGATCTTACGTACCATGGCGGCTTCGCGTACGACTACAAACCACAGGATTATGCCGTGAAGACTGAAAATAGTGACTCAAGCGATTTTTTTATTGTGGGTGCTCCGGACCAATCGTAAATGATCAAAAGCGAGCAAACCTTCAAACGCACAGTCAAATGATGGTCTTTGTTGCGTGAAACCATGTCAGGATTTTTAGAAGCACATCATTCGTCTCTGCTTGAACTTTGCATTATTGCCTTCTAACTTAATGTCATACTTTTTTCCACTTTTTCATGTTGCTTCTCATGGCGAACAAGCTGCTACTTGTTCCGTTCTTTTTCAAGGTCTCCATCCCTAAACTGACCAATGACGATGCCGTCATCATCTTTTGACGTTGTGTCGATTGTGTTGAACGAAGTAGCTCTGTGTGAATGCATGATCGCAAGAGTCGCATTGAAGATGCGAAAGGTCAGTATCAGGCACACTGAGTTTCAGTATGCAGCGAAAAGAGAAAAGCAGACGACGTACGGCATCAGTCGCGATGGCGTGTGCGACGCCGTGAGCAGTCACGATGGTGTGGAGTGAGCAGCCGCGACGAGTGGAAGGACCGCGTGCCTGTTGGATCGTATGGTGCGAGCGCAGTGAAAAGGTTGCATGAGTGGTAGTGAAGGCTAGCGAGCGAGAATGGACCTGTGTAATGGATGACAGAATCCATTTGCCTTCTACATCGTATAGATTATGAGTTTAATGCCTGGCTTTAAGACGAACGACACGCCGAGCACTGCAGCACGCGTCGCTAACGACGGCCACGAAAGAGCCGCCGCACCGACAGATGCAACTGCTGCTACACCAGCTGCGCCAGCGGCTGCGATGGTTGTCGATTCTATTGCTCACGAAAGAGGCGAGAACTCGGACATCAACGCACGGATTCTTACTGCTCTCGATAAGATGACGAGCCGCATGGACCGACTTGAGATGTCGCAAATGCAAATCGATGAGAACGAGCGCCTATGCGGCGCCATCGACAGTGGACTGTTTGGATCCGCTCTTGACAGAGGGAATGGTGGAGTACCAATGAACCACGAAGCACTCGGGTTCATGCCGCCAAAACGATCGCCTGAGCCGCCAGCAGCTCCGCTGCCACGTCTGCGAGCTTCGGTTATGGGGCAATCGTTTTTGAGCCTCTCGGTTTACGAGAACCGCCACCGCAGCAGTAGCAACAGGCCCCGGAAATGCAGCAAGCCTACGCACAGCAAGCGTATGCGCCAATGCAACAACAAGCAGCGACAGCACCGGTTGATGTACCTGCGCCAGTACAAGAGTATCGGACGCCGGACGCGCGTCAGGCGCAAGCTCGCGATCCGAAAGTTTGACGGTTCCGAACTGTATTAAGGACTCGGCGCCAGCTTTCAGGATTGGGGACGCTCGTTCATCCGTGCGGTTAACTTCTCACAGGCGGCGTGCGGCTTCCCGTGGGCTGAAAATGTCAACGTTGATCTCTTCGGGCATTATCTTGGCGGAACCGCCGAGCGATACTACAATTGTAAAGGGGCACCCTCCGACTATACTGATAACAGTATAGTCTACTTTCACTGATTACAGTGAAAGCAGGTGCCTCAAAACCTCACGTACACGTGAGCAGAGGAAGCTTATCAACTAAACAAACGCTTAGTTAAGAGGGAAAAGAAAACTGTATTTAATATAGTTAACTATCTAGTAAAAATAATCTGTCATAACCTATGCTAACTATATTAAACTACAACTATGTATGTTGACGACTTGCCCTCCACTCATTGCGCGCGTCCATCGGTAATTGGTCAGCGCGTTGGTTGATATGATGGCCATAACAACCAATTAAAGGGCTACTCCAACTTCACGGAGATCTACGGACAATATTATAAGAAAATATAATATTGTCAAATATTATTAGTTATAATAATATTTTAATGACACTTCATATAAGTGTTAATATTATGTAACGGGCTCACCCCGTTACAACAATAAGCAAGTCGATGTTTGGTGGGAGCAGCTCCCGACGCTCGACCGCATCATGGAGCGCATGTATTAAGCGTTCCGGAAGAAGATACAGCGTCGCAATCGATGAAGCTTTTCACGGCCAAGAAGGACCACAAGAGTTCGTGGCCTGAACACAATCTCTACATGGTCGCATCGAGCGACGCGTGTGGAGGAGGCGCCGAGGCGCGGTTTGGGCACTAGACAACATAGTACACTATGCGTCGGCGGATCTGTCGACTGTGATCATGGCGAAGTTCGACGCAGGACGCTTCGACTACTTGCGCCAAGCTGAGGAGCTTGCGCACTTTGCTCAAGCAGTCGAGGTCGACAGTCGTGCCGGCAAGTCACTGGCTCGCGAGGTCGTTGCAGTCTGAAATGACTCGATATAGCGCAAGGAAACGCTCACGTGCCACAACTGCAAGAAGCAGGGGCATTTGAAGAAGGAATGCCGCTCAAAGAAGAAGGAGAAGAAGGGTAAAGACGACAACGAAGAAGTGCTACTGCTGGCAGTGAACGACATACGATCAGGTGCGAGCTCCGACTGGATCCTTGATAGCGGCTCCAGCTGCCACATCGTGAGCGACGATCGTTTACTCATCATCTGCAAGCAGTGCAACGATGAGATCTCTCTTTCTTACAAGAAGAAGCTCGTGCTCACGAAGTTCGGACGGATGCACCTGTTTGTGACAGAGTGCGGCAAGAAGCGTCAGATCGAGCTGTCGGACGTTTACTACGCGCCAAGTCTTGCGCACAATCTTTTTACCTACGGGAAGCTCGAGCAGCTTGGGTACGCACTCATGCACTGACGATGGGCGTGAAGTCGTACGGCGATCGGATGGACACGTTGCGTTTGACGCTACGATGCGCAATAGTTTTCTGGTCGTCGAGACGTCCAGCGCGATCGAGACAGCAGACGTGATCTTTGCTGCTCTTGTGGAGGGTTTGACGGCAGATGTGTCGCCCGATGTGCAAAAAGCAACACTCGTGAACTTCCACCAGAGGTTCGGGTAATTGTCTATGTCACAATCAAGATGATCGAGAAGAACCCGGGATGTGGTTCGCATCACGGGTCACAGACGTTTGACGTGCATCACGTGTGCTCAGAGCAAACAGACGAAGAACAGCTAAAGAAAGAAGGACACCGGTGCGCACTTTCCAATTGATCGTGTCGGCGGAGTGATATACTCCGATCTCAAAGGGTCATTGACACCGGCTAATCATTTGCGGAATCGGTATCTTGTTATTTTCGTCGATCATAAGAGTAACTACTGCCGCATCTTCTTGGCTAAACCCAAGGATGCCGCTGCAAAGAAGTTCGAGCATTTTCTCGCTTTCTTCGAGCAAGAGTTCAATTGCAAGGCCGCCGTGTTACGCACAGACGGCGGAGGAGAGTACCATAACGTCGACTTGTTTTGCAAGCAGACTGGTTTCGCTCGCCAAGTGAGTGAGGCGCGCAATCAGGCGTCCAACGGGAAAGCCGAGCGTATGCACTGGACGGTATTGGACATGACACGGGCGATGAATTTTGCGTCGGAACTGCATTTGACGTTCTGGGGAGACGCTGCTGAGTATGCGATATACATACCCAACAGAATCCCGACGAGCGAGAACACGAAGCGCGCATCCCCAATTGAAATCCTGACGAAGCGAGCTCCAGATCTACGTGAAATTGTCGTCTTTGGCTCGCATTTGCCCGGTGTACCGTGATCCACGGAAGGACTCGTTAGCCCATCACCCTCAAGTCGGCATCATCGTTGGTCGAAGCCACGAGACGAAAGGATTACGTGTTTACTTGCGCAAGGACAACGTTGCTAACGTCACACAACATGTCAAGAACATCGAGACACTACTAACAGCGCAGAAAGCAAAACTGCAGCGCGATCTCGAGAGAGATGACCGTGCAAATGCGAACACCAGCAGCGACGCTCAAAAGCTAGTGCATGAGACGCAACGTGAGCACAAGGCGTCTAGCAAGAAGCCAAAGAAAATGCACAAGTGGACGAGACAACCGATCGCCACACGTGCAGTGTCAAAGAAGTCCGCTACGAGCCAGGACGAGGCCGCTCTTAGCACCGACGTGGTAAGCCACGTGTTCGAACCCGATCCAAAGAATTACCGCGAAGCGATAAAGAGCACGCAGTGTTTGAACTGGAAGAAGGTGATGAAGGAGGAGCTCTCGGCTCTCGAGGCCAACGACGTGTGGAAACAGTTGTCCGCCGTCCGAGTGACAGCAACGTCTTGCATTCCAAGTGGGTCTTTAAGACTCAAACGACCGCGGATGGTGATTTCGAACGTCGCAAAGGCCGCTTGGTTGACTGTGGCAACGAGCAAGTTTTTGGCGTTGATTACTTCCTGACCTTCGCTGCGGTAATGGATATGTCCACAGTGAAAGTGATCCTGGCACTTGCTGCGACGTGGGGCGTCCCAGCTCAGCACGGTGACATACCGAACTCGTATGTCAAAGCGTCGAAGGAGCCGCACCTCGAAATTTTACTGCACACCCGAACAGCATGGACGTACCAGCGGCGCGCATGCGCGAGCTCGGTGTCACGAGCACTAAGGACTTGTCTCTAAAAAGCTACGCAAAAGTCTCTATGGCCTCAAACAAGCCGGCCGACTCTGGAGTCAGCTGTTGCATCAGCGACTCGTCGAAGACGGGTTCACAAAGTGCATCAGCGACAGCTAATTATATATCTATAGGCGAGTGTACGCAGAGCTTGTGATTTTAGAAGTCTACGTCGACGACATACTTATCACTGGAACGTCTACGGCAGTCGTAAACCAGTTTTTCGACGCGATGCAGTGCCTCTCGATCAAAAGTCTCGATCAGTTGCAAAGTTTCTCGGAATGCGTGTGAACAAGACGGCAAGTGGGAGTTACGTTTTGGACCAAGAGGAGGCCATCGTCGAGTTGCTGCGAGAGAATGGATTAAGCGACGCGAATACCACGCGTTCGCCAATTAGAGCAGACGTGTACGATGTGCAAGATGCTGACAGCAAACTACTGAACAGTAACAACTCAGGCAAGCACGCGACGATCAGGTCGTTGCATTCTCTAGTTGGCTCGCTACTTTGGATCTTACGATGCACGCGACCGGACGTGTCGTTTGCTGTACACAAAGAAACACGACAGACGCACCAACCGCGTGTGCACGACTGGAAACTCGCCAAGCGGATCGCACGATACTTGAAGGGGACGATCGCAATGAAGATCGAGATGGTGCCATAGCGCGACGCGGGCGACGCACCGACGCTCGAGTCGTTCAGTGATGCATACTGTGCAGCAGACAAACAGGATCGCAAGTCTACCACCGGTGGCGTCGTGCAACTCAACGGTATGGTTGTGACCTGGTGCGCGAAGAAGCAAGGTGGCATCACACTCAGCACCATGGAAGCTGAATTCGTGGGCATCCGAAGTGGCACGGGAGCTGCTAGGAATCCGTGAAATGCTGCGTGAGATCGGCATAGAACCAGAACTACCAATGACGATGCGTATCGACAATCAGGCCGCCATTTGCCAGATCAACGGCGAGGCGACATCAACTAAAGCGAAACACATCGACGTCCGATTAAAGTTTCTCTGTGACTACGCTCGTCGCGGCGTGATCGAGGCTCAGCACGTGCGCTCAGAACTCATGCTGGCAGAATTGCTCACCAAGGTGTTCGATTCGCCCAAGACGGCAACGCTACGAGAGCTGCTATGTGTCGGCTAGTACGCCAAGAGGTAATACACAGGTGCCCGAGGAGGAGTGTTGATAGGAGTAGCTCTGTGTGAATGCATGATCGCAAGAGTTGCATTGAAGATGCGAAAGGTCAGTATCAGGCACACTGAGTTTCAGTATGCAGCGAAAAGAGAGAAGCAGACGACGTACGGCATCAGTCGCGATGGCGTGTGCGACGCCGTGAGCAGTCACGATGGTGTGGAGTGAGCAGCCGCGACGAGTGGAAGGACCGCGTGCCTGTTGGATCGTATGGTGCGAGCGCAGTGAAAAGGTTGCATGAGTGGTAGTGAAGGCTAGCGAGCGAGAATGGACCTGTGTAATGGATGACAGAATCCAACTTGCCTTCTACATCGTATAGATTGTGGTGTAGTGCCTCACAGGGATCTACAAAGCAGGCCAGGAAAAAGGAACGTTCTGACAGCGAAACTGGAAACTATAGGAGAGTCGGTTTTGTAACAGGGCATCTAGTTACACGTCAACATTAATTAATATACTTAAATTAAGGTCTAAAAGCATCCAGGATTACTTTTGACCTGTCACTTGGATGCGATACACAAACGTGATCCACCCTCGTGAATGTGATATCCATTTGTGGATTCACATGGGAAGGGATGGCGCTAGTTGAAGCTAGGCATCGCGACGTCTCAGAAGGACT